TTGCAAACGGTTCTCATAGGGCGCATGGCAATTCTGTTCACATCGCCTCAGCAAATTCTCAGAGAAAAGCCAAGCCTGGGCAGATTTCCAAATCAAATATTTTACACACACCCAACACGTGAAAGCACAGAACCATGGCACAGCCTCGCTCTGAACCCCACATCGCCCCCTACACAATCGGCTGGCCCCGGCCATGAGTCGCGCAGCCGATTTTCACCCCAGGGGACCTCTGGCCCGGCCTGCGTGGGCTAGAATAAGGGTACCCTTTTTTCTGTAGTCTATTTTAGACGGGAAACCCTCCCCAAAAAAAAAGGGTAAAAGGGCCCTACTGGGGGACCTAGGTGGCATGCAAAGGCCCCCGAGCAACCGCGAAGGGTCGAAAGAGCAATGCCACGCTCAAAAACAGGCAACCAAGGGTCTCAGGGATTTGCCACAACCAAAAATCGACAGTCGCCACGAGAAAACGATGGAAGGTGTCCACGAGAAATCCTGCGTAGCAAGCTGTGCCAAACGCAAAGTCACCCAAATCCCAATTCCCCGTGATTTCTCGCCCAAGCTGGGCCCCCTGCCCCCAAAATGCGGTCATTCTGCACCAGAAGCGGCAGCAGGTTATCCTGGCGTGGCTGTGATGCGACTCTGCAAGCGAAACTCTGGCTTGAGGGTATTAAAGGTGGGAACTTGTTCCTTGGTTCATGTTCCCAATAATCCCCTGCAAATTAACGTGAAACCCAAAGGGGGGGCCCAAAACAAGATCCCTCTCAAAATGGACTCTATCGTTCCCACATACCAAAACTGGCCTAGACATGCCTCAGCTTCATTGAGTAGACTTGTGAACGGCCCGGTTGGATTCAGATTTGGCATGGGGATTTCGGCAGCGCAAGGTCTCCAGCCTTCGGTTGGGTCAAAAGTCGTCAATTCTTGGGCCGCAACTTGGGATCTGATCCGGACCTCGACTCCTCGACTCCGCACATCGCATGCCACTGGCGCGCTGGTTTTCCATGGTAACCGAGCAGGGACGTCGAGCAAGACTCGACGGGAACATCGATCTCGACTCGGAGGGGGAGAAAGAGAGAGAGAGAGAGAGAGAGAGAGAGAGAAAAAGAAAGAAAGAAAGAAAGAAAGAAAGAAAGAAAGAAAGAATGAAAGAGAGAGAGAGAGAGAGAAAAGGAGAGAGAGTCGGAGAGACACATGTCTGACGGTTTTAGGGGCCAATGGACGTCTCCTGCAGCCGCCGCGATACCTCCTTCAGCTCGGCCACAGCCCAGACCTTTGCGCAGTCCACTTTCCGACGGAAAGTCCAGTTTCCGGCGGAAAGCAAACATGGGGAGAAGCACGAAATGCGATGGCTTCCCAAACCCAAATGCGCCAGCTGGATCACTGGACGTTCACAAACACAAGCAAGCCGCGGCTGGGCAATAGCCCACTCAGCCAGGGCTCGGGGTTGGCGAGTAGCTCGGGAAAGATACAAACCAAGTTGAACGGAAAAGCGGAAACAAAATGGCTGGGCAGCCGGAAGGTCACCCGCTGCTTGGCCCCTTAGGGTGCCCCCGTAGGTCGTAACCGCTGCCGCTTCGCACAAATTCCAGCCCTGTTCCAGGCAGCTCTCTCTCTCTCGCTCTCTCTCTCTCTCTCTCTCTCTCTCTCTCTCTCTCTCTTCACTCCCTGGCCGGTTCCTGCCAGGGTGGACTGAGGTTTCAATCAAGAACCCACCCACACACTGCAGCTTGGCCTATCCTGTCCTCCTCTCATCTCCTCTCCCAGCTTCAGTCCCCAACGCAGATTGCGACCTGCCGGTTGTTCATCTCTGCGACCTCGAGGCAAGGACGGGCCATGAGCCCTTGTTGGGGTGGCGGAGATGAGATGGAAGACCCCCCGTTCCTTGACCCCAAGAGTCTCCGGCTCGGGCCCTCGTCTTATGCCATCTAAATCCAGATCCCAAGAGAACGACGGGGCCACAAGGCAGGTCCTACGGGCGAGCCGAGTGGGGCCATTTTTGGGTCACATGGTAGCAGGGCCCACGCCGATCCCTGCTTTTCGTTTTCCCTTTTCAGGGGGTGCCAGTGTCATGTTCAAAACGTCTGAACCTGGGCGATTGCCAGTGTGTCCAACCCTGGCCATTTGTACAAGTGCTCACTTGCAAAATGGTTGATGCGCCAAGTCTCAAAATGGTCCCCGTAAATTGATATCAGCATATTGAAATTGGTGGGCTGTCGAAATGTGGCTCGCTTAAACGCCGATGATTGAAATATAATTAACCTTGGGGGTTGGCGGGCTCAGTCAAAATGGCGATGTGCCTGTGCAGAATGATGCAAAGGGCAATCCCAGCCATGTAGGAAGGTAGCGCCTGCCACAAAACAGAAGTACCTGCGCTTACCTAACAATAGAGTCCCCAAGCAAACCTCTCGAAGGAACCAGGGGAACCATGAAGTGTCTTGCGCTAATATGAAACAACCCAAATGGCCGAGGCTCAAAAAACCGGTACCAAAATGGAACCCTGGTAAGTGGAAACATGGACCAAAACCTGCGTAACCCCTCCGATCGTTTAACTTTGAGCCACACCCAAATCTCAAACCCCAACTTCTTGTCCCCAAAGGACTTGAGTACTGGACGAAATCGAAAGGTTCACACGAATGGCGTCAAAGATTTGCTGAAATGAGTGAAAAAGTTTGATTCGTTACTCGAACGGCTGGCAAGAAGCAAGCCGCTGCTGCGGAAATACTCGCGCTCTCGGACTCAGGCCGTCAAATGCATGCTTCCAATACAATCTGATACACTATCCAAGCGGGCGTGTGATGAACCCAAAGGCCCTACAACCGCAACCGAAGGTCA